ATCGGCAGTGATGCTTGAGCTAACATGGCTAGTCCCATCTCAACAATGTGGCGATGTTTTCGTTCAGCCTTCCCATTCTGTTCTGACGTGCTGGGACAGGAGATCCGATGTTGTACACCATTGGTAAAAAACCAACTCTTCAGTGCCTGATATTCACCTCCACCATCACTCTGCAATGCTTTGATTTTCTTCCCAAACTGAACCTCTGCTATTTTTACAAGATTAATAAAACACTGGCTGACTTCAGATTTCTTTCTGATTAGATACACCCAGGTATGTCTGCTGAACACATCAATAAATGATACATAATATACGTAACCTTCAGTCGAAACTACAGGAGCAGGTCCCCACACATCTGACACAACCAGCTGAAAAATTTCTTTGTATTCAGTCAACGAATTACAAAAAGATTTCTTTCTGATTAGATACACCCAGGTATGTCTGCTGAACACATCAATAAATGATACATAATATACGTAACCTTCAGTCGAAACTACAGGAGCAGGTCCCCACACATCTGACACAACCAGCTGAAAAATTTCTTTGTATTCAGTCAACGAATTACAAAAAAGGTAGCTTGTGAGCCTTGCCTTGTAAACATGCAGAACAAACATTGTTCAATTTGTTTTCACTACTAGAAACATTACACATTTTCATAACATCTTTGACAGTCTTCTCACAGGAGTGTCCTAAGCGCCTATGCCAAAGTTCCAAACTACTTGAGGCCTTGGACACATTATTCACCATGCAACATGATTTCTTCTCTTCATACGGTAGCAGCTGGTATAAACCTTCATGAGTGAGCTTCCCTCTCAGCAGAATGTTCCGAGACTGTGCATCCTTCACCAAGCACTCAAAAGGATGAAATTCAATAAACACATTGTTATCACGAGTGAATTGAGATACTGACAGCAATTTCTTCTTAATGTGTGGGGCATGTAGCATATTTTGCAATACTAGAGGTCTGAGGCTAGAGGACAGAGAGCCTTGACCAATATGATCAATTTTAATTCCTTGACCATTACCCATTAGAAGAGTGTTGTTACCTTTATATGTCATACCTGAATTGAACGGTACAAGATCATTTGATACATGATGAGTGGCACCCGTGTCTGGATACCACAGAGCATTGGAGTGGTTTGGAGCACTGTGAACTGCTGCCATACTAGGCACAGTGGATACAAAGGCTGTAGGTGCAGTATGAACAAATGACTCTTGTCCTTCTGTTTTTGCAGGATGAGTTCCACAGTCCCCAGGGAAACGAGTCAAAGCATAGGGCATACCATGCATGGAGCTGGATGGATAGTGGTAGAAGACAGGAGATTGCAGCGTGTGACTATACGCATGTCCATTCACAGGAACTATCTGTTCAGCTGGTTTCTTCCACTGCTCAGCAGACTGATCTTCACTGCTAATTCCAGTGAAATCTCGATCAAAGCGACGATAACACCGCTGAACGATGTGCCCAAACTTTCCACACAACTGACATTGTGGTCTATTTGAGTTGTTAAATCTTCCTTTGCCTCTACCACGATAGCCTCCCTGCTGATTTCCCTGTTGTCCTTTCACCGAATAAAACTATTTTTCTGTTCCATCTGTTTCAGTGGCAGCCTGAGACCTTGTCCCATTCTCTTCTTTCGGCTGCACAGCCATATTTGCAGCAATACCATCGCTTAAAAAAGCTTTCTGCCTAGCCTCACAATCCAAGAGCATTTCAGTGAGACTATCTAGTGACACTACATCACGAGATGCTATAGCAATAATGGACTCGAATTCCATTGACAATCCAGCAAGAATCACACTTACTTGTTCTTGTTCAGGTACAACACAACCTGCAGCATTCAACAAATCACAGATTGTCTTAATATTGGCTAAATAATCACTCACAGTCAAGCCAGCTTTCCTCTGAGAGTGCAAACTGTGCCTGAGAGAAGAAATCTTGGCACTAGAACGAACTCCAAACAATCTTGAAACTGCATTCCAGATTGTGCGAGAGGACGTGAGCCCTGTAAGATATGGCAAAACCTCCATGCTAACCGTTGTCAACAACCACGAAGCAAGCAACTTGTCTTGTTGCCTATGCACAAGATACACTGGATTTTCCTCAAGCTGCCCAGACTCATTTGTAACAAACTGAGATGGAGCAGAATTATCACCAGAGATGTAAGCCAACATTCCATAGCCATCAATTATAAGGGTCACCTGATGCTTCCAAAGAAGGTATGTTGCCTCGGTAAGCTTTATGACATCCTGTTTGGGTATATGTTGTACACTGGATCTGATAGAAGAACCATATGACGTTGAGGTAACTGTGGTATTCACCGGAGACTGAACATCAGCTTGTTGCAAGTCCACCATCTTCAAAGAAGGGCAAGAACCTCCAAGAAAAGAGGCAAACAGAAACTGCAGGACCGTTTTGGCAACTGATACCATGTAAAGATTATAAACAATTGTCTAATCTATGTAAACAAGAAAGAAAACAAATGAGAGAAATGAATCTTCTGAAATTCATTATATCAAGCGTGAGTATTACAACTCTCAAGGGGAGTATTTATAGCTAGTACTATAGCTATAACTGATGTAACTAACTCCACAACAAACTAACTACTTGATCTGTTGCAGTGAACCAAAACTCAGCTGCACAACCATCATGCACTGCACGTGAACATATATGCCATGCATTTACATACACTAACATTCCCCTTGCAATCTTCAACTTCAAATCTTCTTCAAGCTCAAGAAGCACAAACATGATCAATGCTCATTCAAACCCAAAATGAAATGAAAGTTCATTTACACTAACACAGGATTCTGTTGCTGTTCTTTTTGTATTTTTTGAAATTCGACAGGTAATTGAGATAGTGACTGGACAGATTCTATTGCTAATCACTTTCTAAGTATTTGCTAATTTTTTGGTAGCATGACCCTTTTGGCCTCTCAATTTTATCAGTATGTCATTTTAATTTAAATTATTATTTCGTCCTTTTTTATCTTGAACTTCTGTTTTTTTGTTAAATAACCATGTGGGTTCTTCATTTATGTTAAAAATGTATTTTATAATATTAGCCATTAGGATACGTCATGCGCACGATCTTGAAACCTTTCTTTGTTAAAAATATTTATAAAAACTTTAATTGAATTTGCACCCGACCAATTATAATATTAATTCACTCAAAGAGTTCATATTAGTAGAGATAAAAAATAATTAATAATATTTACATTTTATTACTTTGCGGTCATTTTTTTATGATTGTTCATGTATAAAAACATTACCTGAACAAATACACTAAAACCTGGAAAGAAGGGGTGAGGGAGTTCAACAAGTTGAAATCCATGAATTTGTCGACCAAAAATTAGAACAGAATTTTATGGTTCTGGTATGAGAATTCTACTGTAATGGTTATATATGCATAGACAATTTCATGCATATGGAAAGTTGTTTATGTTTACAGATTACTTCTCAATGTAGAACTGACAAGCAGAAACAAAAAAATTGATCATACCTTTGATTCATAGCCGAAGAATCAAAATGAGAATCATTACTCCGGACAAACTGCAGAAAACACTGGCAGCCTCTTCTTTGTAGTAGGACCGCCGTAGAGAACACTGTCAATGTATGCATCGATGTTTTCCCCTGATGGGGTTTTGCCAGGAAACGATGTTGGCAGGGTAACATAAATCCCATCATCTTGAGGTGACCAGTTGGCTCCAATGGTGAAAGTGGTGGTGGCAATTGTATCAGGTCCGATGGTGGAGGTGGGGCTGATCTTGTTGGTTCTATGTTTCATTGTGAAATTGGTAGTGGAGTGGGTGGTTTCAGGTTTTGTCTCTTCAGGTCTGGTGGATGAGTCCATTTGGGTTATAATGGGAGTTGTTTCTGTGAGTAGATGCAAAAGGTGAGGTTTCGAGCCGAATGTGTTTGGCACGGTGCTAGCATATGACTTATACATCTGTGCCTAAGCAACTCAGAGAGAAACTCGCAATGACCTTCTAGTATTCAAGTGCCCCAAATATTTTGGTATTGGAATATATATCATGAGATACAATTTCATTTATGCTAACTTCAAATTTGGTCCTGAATGGGAAACAAGTGGGGCGTACGTCTTCCTTTCCACGTGCAAACCGCGAAAAAAAATTAAGGCTTCTTCAATAGATTAGTGAACAACGAACACGTTCAAATAGGTTTCAACCAAATAAAAAAGGATCATTGTGGTGCATGAAGTTACATGCTTGGATCAGCTAATGGGGACGTAGCTTTGATTGAAAAATAAAAACTAAAAATTGTACAGCAAGTAAATGAATTTCAAGGTCCGAAATTCGATTCATGTGCCTCAATACTAAGCGTAAAGCATCTAATGAATTTTAGAAGCACGTGGTTCATGCCAACAAACTAATATTCCCATTCACTTTCTAAAATATTGAATCATTTTTCAACCAGCCAAATCTTGAATTTTTGGATTTTCTCAATCTATTCCCATTTTTCCTATCAAAAGGAAATTAAGAAAGACACTCATCATAGTCAACATATGCAAAAAGACCAATTGATCAATTCACCACTATTCACAAAGTAATTCAATCCCCCCGAACAACTAAAATTCACTAAATCGTTAAATTTAATAAACAATGGCACCAAAATCAAAAAGCTACACCAAGGCCAATCAAGTGCATATCTATTTTTTAAAAGAAAATTAGGTTAAAGTGTCTGTCTTTAAATCTTTCATTTTGCAAATAATTATTTTTCATAAAATGTTTAGATTAGTGTAGGTTATTCTAACTCATATCCAACTTAACATGAGGGTATGTCATTGACTTCATAGAGAATTACAAATGAGATTCAATCTCTAATGCTTAACAGAATACTAATGAGTAATCAATCAATTGAGTGATCTCATTTCACATAAAGTTGTAGAAAACTAATCAAAAGTGTTGATACAGAATATATTTTTGTATCCAAGAATTCACAAGGCTAAAGACCTTGTGTTTGATAGCAAATAGGCAGAGTTATTATAACATTAACACAATCATGAGATTTCAATCATATTAGACAATTCAGCAGAGAAATATACCTGACACTTGGATCCATATCGGCAATGGCCGAACTCATCCCAAGCCCTGCAAATTTCTGACTTATAGAAACCAAAACTTCCCGAAGACGAAGAACCGGAACCTATGATATTAGTATCAGAAGCAACAAGAACTCCGTCCATTACAAACACATCTTCATCCACAACCTTCAGTGGTGTCTTCTCCAACTGTGGCGAAACCGATGATCTGAAGCAGCTTTTCCCGGAGGAGCCGCTATTGCCGCCACTACTAGACACAGAGTTTGAGCGTAGGTGCTTTATGAGGTTCTCGGGTGATGAATAGTAGTTGCCACGGCTTCTTGCTGGAGTTGTCGTCAATTTCGGAATGTTGCTACTCTTTAGGACGTTGAGTTTGTTGCTTTCATTGTAGAAGCTAGAGTCCATTGAATCTGATTTTTCTGCATTTAGTATTAATCATCAATTATCAGCAGAAAAGAAAACGTGAATTTTTATTGAAATGTAGATGCTAGGTTTAAGGATTTTTAATTAAGCAACGGAGTTAATTTTCTGGCGATTGATTTCTAATTTCTCTTATTTCTTTAAAAAAGTTATAATTCCCGCCAAAAAAGTCAATGATCAGTTTTTTAAGCAACAAACTGGAATCGATCGGATGAACTGAATTGTACTTTGCGCTGGAAATTCAAATGTCAAAAAAGAAAAAATCAAAGTACTTTTACGAACATTGAATAGCTAAATCTCGAAGCATAGATGAGCAACAAGTTTCTTTTCTACTATAATATAGAAAAAGAGAAACAGATCGAGAACGATTTACGATGCAGAAAAAATCAAAGTGAAGGATGAAAAAGGATTGAAAACAGAACATAGTCAATGCAGTTGAACGAATTCGATCCTAAACTTAGCGACAGAATATATAAAAGAATCGCGCGATAGTCATTGTACCAAATATATAACCTTATAAAAAGCATTAGAATCGAAAATTGAAAATGGAGAAAGAAATTCAGAGTGAAAAATTACCTAGAAAAGAGTAGCGTTAGAGAATTTTCAAAGGAGAAAGGCGAAGATTGAATATTCTGAGGAAGTTGAAGAGGAAAAAATAGCTTCTCTTCGCGTGTATATGTACTGTTGGTGTTGGTAGAGGGAAAGAAACACAAAGAAGAGCAGCGCCAAGTAAGCTAAGTACAGAAAGGATATAAGATTGGTTGAAACCGGGGGCGTGTTGCCCCTTTGTTTATTGGAAAATGGCTACTCTGGCCACTCCCCAAAATAATAATTTAATATAAATCGTTTAGACCTTTCAGTTAAATGGAAATTTTTGTACTTTTAACCCCTGAAATTTTATAATTCATCTCAGCCCAACTCCAACTTCTTGGCTGAAGCCTTTCTAATTAATAACCTTATCAACAACAACAACAACAATAGGCTAATGACGGTATATTATATTTATAACGATTTCAGAACAAAAGATTACAGCAACATATTCTATTCTGGGTTTCTTGGGATAGTTTTGGAGGGGACAGCAAAACCAAATGAAAAAGAGACAAATGACTCGGTAATTTGACAATTATAATGACACTGTTGATCAACACAAACCATATGTGTCAAGTCTCTGACAGCAACCAAATTTTATGAACAATTTCAGTCCCAATAAGCCAAAAAAACCAAACTAGATTTCTACATGTCACAGATTTTGACTTCAGATTCCATCAAAGGGGTTCTTTAGATTCCCGCCAAGCAAGGACATGAGACGACCACCATGAACCCTACCCTCCGGAACCGAGAAGTCAAAGGTATTGTTGCTGACACCACCGCTGATGTCTATGTCGTACACATTTCTTCTTTCCTCTCGTTTTTCAGCATCGAAGAAACTCGAGTAAGAGGATGAGGACTTCATAGATAAAGGAACCAATACCTGAGGCTGTATGAGTTGTTGCCTTTTCGCTGTTTTGTCCAGGGAATTGATACCATCAGAAATAACACTAGTCCCTGAGGATGGGTGATTGTTGTCCCAGCTGCTTCTTGTGGCTGTAGCTGCTGATACAAGCCCTTGGAAGACTCCGGCTGCGATGAGTCCTCCCTTGCTTGCCTCCCGCTGTTGCACCATACTGCTGTGAGCAGCGCATAGACCACTCCTGCCCCTTGCAAATTTCTCGCATTTGCTCTCCCCCCAGGAGCATCTTTTTCCCCCACCATGGGCCTTGCAGAAGTCCGTGCTTCCTTGGGCACTTTTGCCACAATTCTCAATCTTGCATCGTTTTCCACCACCGTGCCTGACACAACAATCAGTTCGACCGCGTGCACTCTTTGTACAGTCTGGCACAACACACCTCTTCCCACCACCATGGGCAACACAGAAATTGGTGCCTCCATGCACACTCTTGGGACAAATGCCACCACCATTGTAGAGGCAACGTTTTCCCCCACCGTGTCCTTTACACAACAGCGTGCTCCCTTCAGCGCCTTTGGTACACCCTGCAAATACACAGCGTTTTCCTCCACCATGAGCCTTGCAAAACATTGTACTTCCCTGAGCACCCTTAGTACATCCCTGGAACTGGCAACGGCGTCCACCACCATGAGAGATGCACAAACCAGCCTGTCCTTCAGCACTGCGTGTGCAACCTTCCACCTTACACCTCTTTCCCCCTCCATGTCTGATGCAAAGCCCTGATTTACCTCGTGCTGCCTTTGTGCACCCTCCAGGAAAGCCACATCGTCTGCCTCCACCATGAGCTATGCAAAATTCTGTCTTCCCCTCGGCACTTTTAGTGCAGCCCAAGTGTTGGCACCTCCTCCCTCCACCATGAGCCTTACAGTAGACAGTGCGGCTCTCAGAACCTTTGTTACATCCTGGTTTTTGGCATCTTTGTCCGCCCCCATGACCAATACAAAGACCAGATGCCCCTCTTGCTCCTTTTGAGCAGTCAGCAAACTTGCATTTCTTTGAATTGCTTACTCGATTATCTGAGGACGTCATAGTGGTGGTTTGCTCAGAGAGAGTGTCTACAGAAAAGTCGATCTGCGAAGAGGGCTCACAAGTTTGATGAAATTCATGACAGGGAGATTTATCCCCAAACTGAAAATGCTCTTGTGTCTGAACCAAAGCATTGCGACTATCCATTTTCGGAGCAAAGAGGAGTGATGGCATATAACCACCAGATTTCCTGGCCGAAGTAGAACCCTCATCAACAACAGGTATTGTAAGTCTACTATCTTCCACAGAAACATGTTTTGAAAGTGGCATACTAACATCAGTTTCTGATGACAGAGGGTGTTCCAACTGACTCATACTTTCCTTAATCCCACCAGAAAGGCCTAGTTTTAGGATCGAGTCATCCTCGGGCGAGAAGTGCTGGGTGAATAAAGCTGCTGTTGTTTTGTTCTTGTTGAGACCAACAGTGTAATAATTATCCAAGTATACACTTGGAGTAGGGCCCAACCCCAGAACCAACCTGCAGCCGTCATCAGGTGCTTTAGAAAGGTCAACATTAAGATTGCTTTCTGTAGTTCCAAATCTGGCCACATTGCTTCCTCCATAACCGATAAAGTTCAGGCATAGGGCTGTATCACCAAAATTTTCATTTTTTGAGAGTTCAGATACATGAGAAATCTGTATGTTCTTATTCAAATCCATACCGTTCGTAGATGTTGCAAACAATATTACTAAGAAAAATAGGCCAACCTTGCAAAAAAAGTCTTTAATACATCCGGAAAATATATCAGAAACAAATTAGGAAAATAGAAGAAACTCCAATAGTGTTCCTCCTCCACTTACAAACCCTGAAGTATCTGCTCGGTCCATCTTATAAAGTACTATGTAACAGCACACACTTCAATTGTGTGAAAGCTTAGACGCCAATGTATCTGACAACATTTCTAGGAACAAAACCTTTTATTAGAACATTCAAAGTGGATGCAAAGAGAAATCGGGAGCGTCTTGTGCTCCTTATCGACAAATAGATTGGCTTCATTAACCCTAACAAGAATAAACAATCAAAGTAACACAATCAGGCATACATAAAGCAAGTATATTAACAAATCAACAACATGCAACCTTCTATCAAAGGAAAGAAGATCAAGTATACGTATGACCACCATGTTCTAAGATGCACCAACAACAGTTTCAGGACGATCGTCGACATCCAAGCAATGAAAGGAGATTAATACATTAAACACAAATATAGGATTGCATAGTTCTGAAAGGTATCAGCATTCCCCATTTCAGCTAGGAACTGGTGTTATACGAAATATAAATATTTGTTTGAAAATACTTTTATATCAGTTGTAATTATCCCTAGCATACTACAAAAACAAATTATTATAGAAAACAAAATCTTATAAATAAATTTAAATCTAGAGATTTTGTATCCTCTTGCCTTGAATAGAACAAAGACTGAAAAGCTCAGTAACACCACTTGAGCAGTAAAATGAAAGAAATTTCTAAGGTCGAACATAAGAAATCAATTTCTTCAAAATAAAGTAATAAAAATTCCCTCTGATTAAAATTTTGAAACTTTAACTAAAATAACAAAATTCTGGGATTAACCATTTAGTAAAAGTTAAAGCAGAACAAAAAAATTTACTCTCATCAATCGAACATGGAAAGATCACAATTATTATTAACAGTCAACTTTCAATGGTAGTCTTACAGTCGGTGATTGAGCCTTGAGATTCCAATAAATGTTGGATTTTTCGTTACATATTCAAAATTCGACGGCCAGCAACATGTTTATCAATTGTGAGGCTGATCCCTTGGTATTAAAGTCAACACAACATCTCTTATCTAAAATCAAAATTTATTCTAAGCACATGTATTTAGACAAATATATGTTCATAAAAGAAAATTATAGACCAGGGATGAAAAGAATTAACTGTGGCCAAAATACAATGAAAACAAAAACTTTAATTAATAACATTAAACAGGAGATCTAAAACTAGAAATCCCACAAATAACTCAAGACTTGAGCTTCAAAAACCAAATAAAATTACTGAAATACAACTCAGAAACAATCAAATAAAACAAACCCAGGTTACTTTAAGTCAAAGACCAACGACCAAACCAAGGAAATTTCACCAAACTTCCTTCTTTAATTTCTTCAACAATACCATCGTAATAACAAAGCCATTAAAACATAACAGCTCGAAAGCATGCATATATAGCTCAAAAATCTAACCCCTCATGTAAACCACAAGCTCATATGAAACAAATAAGCAAACGTACCCTCCAAATAAAGATAATAAAATTCCGGAGCAAAATTACTTGCATAAAATATGAAAACTATGAGCTAATAACAAGTAAAAAGATTAAGCTTGGGAGAAATATAAAGGAAAATTCGTGGAAATACCGTGAAGAATCCAAATTTAGAGAAAACATGGAGAAAACTGAAGGATCTGAGAAGTGGCTAAAGACATAGGTAAACAGAGTTGGAGAATCTTCTAAAAAATACAGAGAAATTAAAAAAAAAAATTAACAAAGCGTGAAAACGAAGGAGAGACGGGAAGAGGAGAAACCGAAAAATAGTTAAAAATATAGATGCTGAATTTTAATTAAAATGTTTTTATATATTATATGGGCGGCTGTAACGATTTATTAATTTATTTATTGTTTTTGTTTTTGTTTTTTCTCTATGCATATTGTAGGACGGAACCTTGATGGCAAAAATAGCCTTGCAAAACACAAACGCTTCCTATTGGACGATGCATGGTTTCTGTTATTTGAACTGTCTAAATTACCCTTGCTGCTGACCGTCTCGGGGGATCATGGAGTGCAAAAGCGTCAAGTGGAAAATGTGGTTGTTGTTTCCTTTTTTATGGTAAATTACACACGTAGTTGTATTAAAGTTTTAGGTTACTTTTATTTTTATTATTAACTTTTAAAATCATTAAAATTTTGATTAATTTTCATTATGATCACTACCATTAATTCTTTTACACGGTATGTTATAATATTCTTCCAAAAAAATATTAGGTTTCCAAATTAACAATTATTACAAAGGTCAGTTTATGATAAACATATTGTTCGTAAATCATTCTTAACGTCGGAAAGATATTGTTCAGTAAAAGACTAACCATAATTCAATTTTAAATTAATATGACGGTTGTCAATAATTAATCATAAAAAATTAGATTTTACTTTTGATTAAAGTTTGTGGATATTGAAATTTTTTCTAATAAATTTGAATTGAATGAAAGAAATAGAAAAAAATAATAATTTGATGATCTTTTCGATCGAAATTCTATCTAATGACGAAAGTAGAAACGATGATTATTATTATTTTTATATATCACGTCAATTATCGTTAATGATTTCGATTTCAGCTATCAAAGTGAAAGATCCCTAAAAGCCTATCAGTGTAGTTTACCGTTATTTATATATTATTTCCATGGGAATTCTCTTCTTATCAATTTTATAAACAAAAATTCTCACAACCCGCCAAAACATTTGCTCAGAATACTCAAACAGCTGCCCAGCCTCGGCTTGAGTTGACTTCGCTTTGTGACCGAGCTGCGATCGTGTCTTAACCTAATTTTCCTTTTACGATGACACAATAACTTGTGTATCTAACAAAGTTTCAATTAAAAAAGTAATTTACAAATAAGTTAAAATATATATGTATAATTGTAATATATTTTCACTAACAATTTTAAAAATATTTAAATTGTTGAAAGTCAGCGCCGAACAGAAATTGTCAAAATTTGGTGTAGTAATTGTTGAAAAAAATAAATAGTAAAATTATTAAATTAGTCCATATACTTTAGGGTATTTATAAAATTAGTCCTTAAACTTCAACAATAAATACCCTAACCCATTTAACTTCAAAATCATCTCAAATCATTCTAGCTTTCTCCCAATACTAGAGAATTTAGAGAGTTTTCTTGAGAGTTGTTTTCTCCTTTTTATCAAGAGATAATTGTTGTTGTTTTCTCCTTGTTAGATTGAGAGAGGTTGTAATTCATATTTTCTCATAGCGAAATTCTTCTATCGTTACCCGTGGTTTTTACCCTGTATTATTTAGGGGTTTTCCACGTAAAATTTATGTCTTCTTTATCTTCATTTTTATTTTCTCAAATTATCAGTTACGATTTTGCTATATCCGATAGTCGTATTTTGCAACAATTGGTATCAAGAGCCAAATTAGAGTGTGTAATATCTACTTATTATTTTTGTGGTTGCCACCAAAAGGTGGATCCTCCAACATAAGAAAGTAAAAATGTATTACCCATTCTTTAAAGGTTCTAGAGAACTTTTCACGATAGTGAAATAGTGGGAGTTATCCGTAATAGAACCTATGACAACGAAATTTGATATTGAAAAGTTCAATGGGAGAAATTTCTCATTGTGAAAATTGAAGATGAAGGTCATCCTGATGAAAGACGGTTGTCTAGCGGCTATAAGTTAAAGGCCGATAAATTTCACAGATGACAACAAATGGAACGAGATAGACGAGAATGCTATGGCAAACTTTCATCTAGCATTAGAAGATGAAGTATTGTCAAGCATCGAGGAAAAGAAGATAGCTAAGGAGATATGTGATCATCTCACCAAACTGTACGAGACCACATCGTTGCACAATAAAATTTTCCTTAAGAGGAAATTGTACACTCTCCGGATGCCAGAATCTACTTCAGTGACGGAGTACTTAAACACATTGAACACTTTATTTTCTCAACTTATATCCTTAAGATGTACAATAGGAGAACAAGAACGTGTTGAACTTTTACTTTAAAGTCTACCTGATTCGTATAATCAACTCATCATCAACTTGACAAACAGTAATGTCACCAGTCTAGTCTTCGATGACGTTGTAGCTGTTGTTCTACAAGAAGAAAATCGACACAAGAACAAGGAAGACATATATGTAAATCTGCAAAAAGAAGAAGCGTTAACAATGATGAGAGGGAGATCAACAAAATGTGGCCAAAGTAGAAGTCACAAACATGGTAGTGAAAGTCAAGAAGCAAGAAGAATTTAAAGTGCTACAACTGTGGAAAGAATGGTCACTTGAAGAAATATTGTTGGAGTCTAGGTAAAAAACTCCAATCCACAAGGCAATACCGCAAACACTTCAGATGATGGAGATGATCTATGTTGTGAAGCGTCAACAACAGTGGAAGGTAGAAAGAGATTTGCAGATATATGGCTTACTGATTCGGGAGCAACATATCACATGACCTCAAGAAGAGAATTGTTTCATCATTATGAACCTGTCTCAGGAGGATCTGTGTTTATTTGCAATGATCATGCCTTAGAGATCGTTGGCGTTAGAACCATCAAATTGAAGATGTATGATGGAACAATTAAAGTTGTTCGAGATGTGCGGCACATGAAAGGCCTGAAGAAAAATTTATTATCCTACGGATTGTTGGATAATAATGCAAGCAAGATTGAAACATGGAAAGGAATCATGAAGGTGTTCTGTGGAGCGCTTGTGGTGATTAAAGACGAAAAGATAGTAGCAAACTTGTACATGCTGAAAGGAGAGACTTTGCTAGAAGCAGAAGCCTCTGTTGCCTCATGTAGTTCAGATTCTGCAATGTTATGGCATCAGAAACTTGGACACATGTCAGAACAAGGAATGAAGGTCCTTGTAGAGAAAAAGCTACTTCCAGGCTTAACAAATGTATCACTTACTTTGTGTGAGCATTGTATAATAAGTAAGCAGCACCGGTTAAAATTCAACACGTCAAATTCTAGAGGCAAAAGTGTTCTATAATTGGTTCATTCTGACGTATGGCAAGCACCAATTATATCCCTAGGTGGAGCAAAATACTTTGTCTCATTTATTGATGACTACTCCAGGAGATGTTAGGTGTACCTTATTAAGAAGAAGTCAGACGTATTTTCAACTTTTAAAAACTTCAAAGCGTGGGTGGAACTTGATTCTGGAAATAAGATCAAGTATTTTAGAACAGATAATGGAGGAGAATACACAAGTGAAGAATTTGATGACTTTTATAAGAAAGAAGGCATCAAAAGATAGTTCACAATGGCGAATACTCCTAAAAAATAGAGTGGCAGAGTGGATGAATAGAACCTTGTTAGAAAGAACAAGAGCAATGTTGAGGGTTGTAGGCCTAGAAAAATCATTTTGGGCAGAAGCAGACAATACCACCTATTATTTAGTGAATCGAGCTCTATCAACTGCAATAGAGCTGAAGACAGCAATGGAGATGTGGACTGATAAGCCAATTGATTATTCAAACCTCCATCTATTTGGAAGTATTGTATACGTGATGTACAACTCCCAAGAAATTTTAAATTTGGATATAAAATCCAGGAAATTCAAATTATTGGGGTATGCTAATGGAGTAAAGGGGTGTCATTTGTGGGATCCCACTGCCCGCAAAGTGATCATCAGTAAGGATGTTATCTTTATAAAAGATAAGCTGCAAAGAAAAGAAGATGATGATAGTGCTGAAAAGTTAGAAACTACACAGATACATGTGGAAAAGGAGTTTGAACAAGGAGATTCTTCTGAAGTAGAATCAACACATGATGAACAAGAACTAGAGAGTTCTGAAGCTCCAACAACTCATCAATCAGATTGTGTGAGAAGACGTCCCAATTGTGTTGAGTTAATCGGTCGACAAAATAGCCAGGAGGGGGTGAATTGGCAATTAAAATTTTGGTGGAAGCTTTTGCAAAAAATAGAAAATATTTGCATAGCGATTTAGAGTGGTTCGACTTTCTCAACCAAAGTCTACGTCCACTACCTTAGCTATCCACACTAAGGATTTTACAACAAATTCACTAATTTGTTCTTTCTTTTGAGGACAAAAAGTAACCTTACAACTCCCTCAAGAATTATACCACAAATTCTTGAGAACACTCTCTCCCAAAGAGAATAATACAAATTTCGCAAACCTACAAAAAAACCTCACTAGGCAATATGTTTGCACAATTCTAGATCAAGAAAAGAACACTCAAAGATGATTACAAATGAGCATAATATGTATTCTTGAAAACAAAATGAATATTGAAGGAAAATTGGCTTGAATTGCACAAACTTGATGTTTGATGCTTTCTCTCTTGTTTCTCAATGAATTCTTATTGATCAATGTCTTCAGAACTTGTTTAAATACACCTTGGATTGAGTATAGCCGTTGTGAATCATTTGGGTGATATTAGAGCCGTTGTAGTGTGAAAACCTTCTTGAAAAAGACTGCTGGGAGCGTGGGGTATCGGTACACCTTCAATGGGTATCGGTACCTGCAGTGTAAAGTTCTAATATTTCGACCGTTAAATGACTAGGGGTATCTGTACCTCTAAGGGTGTATCGGTACCCATTGGGCATTCTGTTTTTCTCGGAGCCAAAATTGGCATAGGGGCATTGGTACCTATGGCTTAGGTATCGGTACCTCTTTATTTAAAATTTATTTTTGGCTCGATTAAGGTTTGAAATACTTTGTAAAAATTATTTCAAAAATATTTTAAGTTTCAAACACAATTTTACACTTAAGTAAGGATTGAAAATGACC